AAGTTTCAACCTCTCACAAAATGAACTCCTAATCATCTACACTGCATACATCCGTCCACTTATGGAGTATGCTGCTCCCGTCTGGTCCCCGGGACTTTCTAAACAGCAAGTTGATCAGCTGGAGCGGATACAACGAAGAGCCTGTCGGATCATCATGGGTCCTGCCTATACCGGATATGCAAGCTCACTCGAACACCTGAAACTCACAACGCTTGCCGAAAGGCGTGAGACTCTGTGCCTGAACTTTGCCAGATCACTTATCAACTCTGAGTTCGAGCATTGGTTGCCGAGTCGCAGATCTAGTATCACAGGCAGAAGTACCAGAAATGGTAAAAAACTTGATATTCCAAAGGCTAAAACACAGAGATACAGAAACTCACCAATACCCTACCTGACTCGATTGTTGAACCAGCATGACTTTTAATCTGTGATTTACTTTTAATGAATTGTCAATGAGCGAATATTCTCTTACTGTCACGACCAATTCTTTGTATATATATATGACGCTCCTCTTTTATTGATTATTGTACTATATTTTAATCATGTACAGTACTGTATTGTGCTATTGCACTACCTTTTAACCTATATCGCCAACCATTATATTGTACTTTTATGTAATATTGATCTTAATTCAGTGTACCCCACTGCGACATCAATAAAGCCAATCTGAATCTGAATCTGAATCTGAATCATACGGCAGGACACAGAATATACGGTACAACGAGCTGCTCTGTCCACAACTAAAGAGCAAAGGGAAAACTGTGACTTCATATTTCTTTATTCAATCGTACTTCTGAAAGTTGCACTACAGAAATGAATAGCTCTCGGAGTAGTCTGCTTGCAGCGCTGGCAATGTATTTTCAGTAGAGCTGGGCAGAAGCTTTCTTTTGAACATGGGTACAATGGATACATTTTAAAACAAGGAAAATCGTAGATTTCAAACCTCCGGGTTTTTTTTGTGTTGTATTGGTTGGGTACAATTTTAAACATGAAGTATCGATCTAACAGAACGTTAATTATCACCGTCACTTATTGCTATAGATATCGCCAAATAGGGCCTAGTGTCGACACTACCATTTAAAGATGATTCTTCGCTGTTCTAACGTGGCGGTTGAACGTTACCATCAACCTGAGCCGTCAACCTGAACCGTCACCCACGCCGTTAACCACACCGTAAACACGCGCCGTCGACCAACGCCGTCACCCGAAAGGCCCTAGCGTCTACCATTTAAACATGAATCACCAACCACCTTCCGGCGCCTGCAGTCGATCAGAATCAAAATACATATCGGAAGCAGACACCCCTCTGTTTGACCCCTTTTAAATGCTAAGACCCAAAACTGCAACCTCCCCATTCCTTAACAACATGGTAAATTCCATTTTCAGCATGGCGGGGGTGTCCGGAGCACTTAAAAACCTTTTATTTCGACGCCCATAAACACATATACAATTAAATGAAAACGTTCTGCATCATCTGCAGCCCAACAGCAATACGTATACCGAACAACAGACCAATCCGTCCAGCCGATCGCGAGAAACAGCTGCTGACAGAAATGTTTCGAACCATAGTAAAACCTCCTCGCGGAAGGATATCTCCTTCCCCGGAGGTAATGAGTCCTTTTTCTTTTACAACACGTTTGTGTGTTACTTTAGAGGAATTTACGGCAATCTAGCCACAAATCTTGTTCTGATTAAGTTGAAAAGCCAGTGAACTGACGATGCTTACTCGCGGCCTACCCGTGTAAAACTCTTGACAAATATACTACTAGTGTGGTATCGCATATGTTATCCTAAAACACAGTGTTAGGCAGCATAAACTTGGTAAAAATGGCTATGTACAAAATTTAGTTACAGACGCCATGTAGTGTTTTCTGTATTGTTCAGGTGGTAACTTTGCTATGGCCAGCTACATTGATTTTAGGCCAATTTCTACTGCTAGTATTTATTGAGCCTGCAAAGGAGTCTGCTAGAGGCTATAACTCTGTTTCGAGTGTCGGTGCAGACTGCATTTCCATATTCATGACTAGGTAGCCATGGCGATGATAACTTAAATGCTCTTTTCAATCAAATGTTGATTCTTGCTTAAATGTTTTAAGTGTGGTTGTT